GTTACATTTTTTTATGTCCAAATTTAAATATTTAATTAGGTTATTATATTTATATATATTTCGGCTTACCGACCCGTCGACTCCTTATTTTTAGACATTGAAAAATCTGCAGAAAAAAAAATTAGCAAATAAAGAAATTCACTTACGCATTATATGTTAATTATCAAAGCTTTTATTGAAATTGATACGAAAATTATCCGACAAAATAACTTTCTCCTTTAGTATTAATCAAACATGTGCATTTTTTTAAAAAACATTTTTTTTTCACATTTCTTTTTTCTCTTATGAACACTTAAAATGTGTGTAATTCATGTAAGTTTCGGCACTTTCTTTGATGATTCGAATCAAACAGCCAGTGCTACATGATGGTAAACATCAAAGATTGGCAGATTCTTTTGAAAAGCCGGCTACACGCGTGTCAAAGGTCATCGTGTGTAAATTGTATGCGTGTTATTGAACAATGGAAACATTATATTTAATTTTTACGGGTATTATTTTGTTTTCACAAATGTGAGCGAATTTTATTGCGTACTATAGCGCTAATTGAGGAATTCAGACAATCGGCGGCGATTTTCGTTTCCATTTCATTTGAAATCGTAAGTACCACACGCACTAAATTTATTAATAAAAGCTAGTCGTATTCTATATAGAAGAAATAAAAATCAATAACGGAAGATTTTTGATATGTATCATTCAATTAAAAAGGAAGAAAAACGAAATACTACAATTTGAAAAAGGTCGCGAAGAAATGGTTACGTCATATCAGACATCTAAGAATATGACAACGATCCGAACATCCGGATGTTTGATTCGGATATCCGGATGGCCGTTTCGGCTCCAGATGACATCCCTAATATATATATTCAACAGCCACGGGAGGGAAATTGTCCGCTCTGACAACAGCGGGAGGGGAATTGTCCGGGTTGTTAAAAGAACGGGAGGGGAATTGTCCGGGTTGATAAAAGAACGGGAGGGGAATTGTCCGCCGTAAAAAAATAACGGGAGGGGAAATGTCCGGGTTGTGAAAAAAACATTCAAATTTACTGGGAGGGGAATCGTCCGGGAGGGGAATTGTCCGGATACCTTGGACAGCTTGTGTAGCGAAAATTAAATACAAAATAAAAGGATATATCGTCAATTTGAAGAAGTTTCTCATAGTACCCAAATTAAATTTATGGTTTATCTTTGAAACTTAAGCAGTCATTACTTAAATCATGTGGTGGGATCATCAGCAAGCTTGAATATCGGACAAATGATAATTAATGTCGCGGCGTCTTCAATTAATTAATTAAAGCAATTCAGTTCCATATGATGTTTTCATAAATAATATATAATGTACGCAATAAAATTAATAAGTTCTTCATCAAGATATATTTCAGTTGTACCAGCGTGTACACCTATACCGGAAGTGGGTATAACACGTCACAATCTCGGTCTCATCTGTCTCGCGAGAATGACAGGACGCCAAAATGGCGGCGCCCATGAACTTATTTCTCAAGTAAAAAATAGTGTCTTAAAACACGAATTTCTCTCTTATAGGGTTGATGTCAATAGTAAAACTGTCATGGTTCCTCTTTTTAAATGATGAATATTTATATAAGACACACATCAATCCATCCATTCCTATTCCTTTAATATTGAAAATAATGCTAAATCAGAGCAGGGATACAGACTACGTTGTAAACAAACGAAGAGCGCATGTGGCCCAAATTGGTTACATATGACCGACTGAAAGGCTCGAGAAGTTGCTGTCGCCCTTTCACAAAATTAGTTCTGTTTAAATAAAACCGCAAGAGATGATTAAAAAAATGTGAAAAAGCGGCAAAATAAACAGATAAAGTCGGAAGCCAAACTAGAAAAGGACGTTGTTTGCGTAAGTAATCTTACACTTTACAGTTCAAATTTATGGGTATGACTTAATATTTTTTATTAGTAAAATGGTATTTTAATATAAATAAATTCAATAGTACAAAATGTTTTAATGGATATAGTACTGTTGCTTCTGATTTCAGCAAATTTTACAAATAGAACTTTTAAATACTATTTTATTATCGTATAAAAACCTAATCTCACACCCAACCTTTCATATATCGGGCAGCACGAAATAACCAAATATACCCAAATACACCCAAATATACCCAAATATTGCCCAAATATACCCAAATAATGCCTAAATTTACCCAAATATTGCCCAATTATACTATAAATAAATGTATTATCTCAAAAAGGTGCTGTTTTTATCATGAATACAATATACACTTTCAATAAGATATAATGATTACTGGAGGTTACGTACCACGGAGGATGCGTACCAGCTAGGAGGTTACGTACCATTTTTGGAGGTTACGTACCACTTATATATTTTGGAGGATACGTACCATATATATATAATTTATATAAAATACAAATAATATAGAGCATAACAATTATAAACCATACCCAAATATACATTTCCCTATCATTGTGTTTTGAACCAAAATACAATCTATATATGTACACCTTTAAAGCATTTTTAAAAAAAATAACATGGACACTTGTATATGATATGAAATTCCAACAAAATTACACCTTAAAAATGTAAGTGTAGACAGTCTTCGACTTAACCCACTCGACCGACAACCGAGTCGAGTAAATTTGCGGGTGGTCGAGTGAAAATTCCAAGCTGGTAGCCCGTCTGGTCGAGTGCTTTTTTCATATCCAAATTAAGAAAATGTTGGAAATATGCAGAGCTTCAGATTGCAATGTTTTGGCTTTATGAAAATACAATATATTTCTGCTGAATTTGATGGAAAACTAAAAGTACTATTGTCAACACTGCTGTAAGTTGAAAACGAAAGTAGCAGGAAGTGACATCGAGTAAAAAGGGAAGGTAACTCTTGGGAGTTTCTGAAATGAATTTATTGATAAAGTTAACCTTGTGATACCTTGTGATGTTTGGGAAACTTTATTAGTCCCTTAACGGACTATCATTCCCCTCAAAATGATTAGACATGATATATATACATCACATGCATAAAATAGACCTTTTAGGATATATTTATAAAAACGAATCATATGCTAAAAAACTAAAAATGATAGTTTACCCAAATCTACATCACTAGCAATGTCTAGTATCTAAAAATTTACTTAAAGTTCAATAATATACCGAGTAAACAATTAAAAATTTAATGAATTATTTAAATAAATAAATAAATAAAAGTACTAAAAAAAAAACAACAAAAAAAACAACATACATTTTTTATATATAATTTAAATTATAAGCCACTCGTGAAATATACCTTTTGGTGCTCACTCGGTGAAATATATTCCGATCTTACACTGAACTAAACAAATATCCTCTATATCTTCATAACTTGAATTAAAATCATTATAGACAAATCTGAGTGCTCTTTCCTGTAGTTTTTCCATCTTGTTTGTATTATTTTCTGAACAGAAATGCCATGACATAGGACAAAAATTAAAATTGGACAAAATAAAAGTATGAAAGATTGTTAGCCTATGCTGACCATGTAGCTGATTGTAAAAGAATGTGACACATTCAAACAACAACATGTCAGCAACAAAAAAATGAGTCTTGTCATTAATTTGCTGTGTACAGTAACCTTAACAAACCCTAGTCTAGGGAAGCCTGCCTTAACAGAGCAAGTTTTGTATTATTTAACGTTGAATCAACATTTTATTGCGACGGACGCGCCCTCAGAGCTAAGTCATCTACACATGGGATTTCGTTGGCTACACTCGCGCAATGTGTCCTAAACCAATTAACAGCCCAAGAAATAGTACATGAATTTGATCCTTCAAAACTCCCATACTTTGTCTGGATATCTTAATGTCTTCCATATTTAGCCTTTTCAATTTCAAATTAAGTTATCCAAGTTAAAATATGAACGTATATTATTGATAAAAACGTTGTAGTCCCGTAGTATTATTGCGCAATATGCAAATTACTGCTGAAACGATTTACCGCTGTCGAAAAAGTAGGACAGCAAATTATACTTCAGTAAAGGTGTAACCTCTGAGTTCCAAGACATTATTAGTAGGAAATAAATATTTCTACATTATACAAAACATTATTATTAACAAATCAAAAGTTTTTCGTGACTCTAGGATAACTCGCGCATTAATAAAAGAAGAACTATTTTCGTGACTCATACCGCGGGTTTAGCTGAATATTCAGCAGTTATTAATATATTAGATACAGTACAATGGCTAGTATAAATATCTTTTTTTGAAAATGCATGTAAGACACTTTACCGCCATGTAGTCTTTCATGGTAAGGAAGTTAAAATATCAGTTCTACTTCCGATTCTTGTGGTTTGTTTACATATTTTACTAGGTCATGATATGAGTTAACCTTCGCTATTCTAAAAATAGATTCTGCTTCACCTGTTCTGATTTTTGGACAGGCGATTAGGAAGTACACATTAAACATGTAATTAATAAACCAGCGGATTGTAATGCAATACTTTTAGAAATGCTATACAATTGTAAGAAGCAAACAAGTTGAAAATGGAATTTAGTGTGAAGTTGAAAAGGACAACTAAACACTGTAGTGCTTAAGTGACATTTAAATTAAAATAAAAACGATGTGCTCTGGCCTCTACATCTTTACCTTGTAAATAAAAAAAATCTAAGAAATACACTATTAATTGCTGATGATTTTAACCAATTTTTTTTTAATGAGACATATCCAAGAGAAATAAAAATACAAATGACTTATATTTTATTGTCTGTATGCCCACTATGATATAACACGAAGCAATTCTAAATAGCATTCTCAAATGTATAATGTATTATGTTTGAAGTTTATTTGCCTGGATTTATTCTAGAAATATTTCGTTGATAGTTTTTTTTTCTATTTACATATCATTTCTTAGAATAAATCGATAAGGACACTGATTTACAAGTTTGACCAGAGTTTTTAGGCATAAATTTCATTCTGTATTTAAGTGCTTGAAAGTAGAAAATCTGAATTATATCAATTTGGGACACAAAATATTACTTGAATAAATAAGGGATTTGCGATCAAACAAGTTAATTAACAGTAAGTGTATATGATTATTAGTTGCTACAATAAAAGTCAAGTCTAAAGATTATGTTTTTGAATGAATTTCCGACATTGTCATTTGTTTTCGCTACCCGGAAGTATAAATTTACGTAAAGAGTCAACTCGGCCCTATACCAAGTCGGCACGGGTCAACTCGGCCCACTTTACAAAAAAATATATCTTACGTATTTATTTTGCTTTGCATGTTGTTGAGGTAAATGAAAAATAAGAAATATCTTATTATTTTATCAGGGATTTTTGGCTTATTTTATAACCATTATTGGGTCATATCCCAATTGAAAATACTTAAATAGTATATTATTTTCCCAATCCACAGGAAAAAATTCCCAATTGAAAGTTACAAAATAAAATTATTGAATAAAAATTCTAAAATCTTTGCAAATAAAGGCTTCTTCACTGAAGTGGTCACATTTTTGACTCACCTGTTATGAGACTTGGTCAGAATGCTTGTCTAGGTAATTGTTTGGATGAGTTTGATAAGTCAGGTGAGCGATCTAGGGCCATCATGGCCCTCTTGTTTTCTTTGTGACTATAAATGGTATCATCATGTATGACAATGTTCATAAATGTAGCATCTTTATTTCAGGAGTTATCTCCTCTGTTATATTTAGGAAACAGGGATGTTTAATGAAATAATTTTAGAGTCTCCTTCAGTCTCTCCATCTGTCTGTTCATAAAAACTGTTTCCTGAGATCACTTTTAAAGATTTTTTCTAACAAATTTACTTAAAATAGAGAAAAGTTGAAACATTTGTTATACTTATTCATCCTGAGAAAATTGGACCTTTTGATTATCTGTTGTATAAACATAATTTCCTTACTTGGCAGGGAAACTAACAAATTACTATGATATAGACAAACTTATAAAATAATTTCCAACACTGAAAAGCAGTTGTTTCCCCTTTTACTTTTCCAGAAAGTGAATATTTCTTGATTTTGTTGCACCATATTTAAAGAAAATGTACTTGAAAATAGTTAAGATAAGTGTGACATTGGTAGACACTCATATTAACTTGGATATTATAACAGGACAAACAACTACCCATTAATATGGGGCGTCCATAGCCGAGTGGTTAAGGTATTAGACCCCTAATGAAATCGGCAATCATCGACAAATACCGCCATATCTCGCCATTTATCGTAACGAACTTCGTTTGTTTACGAGTAAAGTCGGAATTCTAATAATAGCGGATATCCCCGGTCACGTGGTAGTATTCCCCAAGAAAATGACGTAATTTCCGTAGATATCTAACATGGCGTCTCACAGTCGTGATACGCTGGGGCGATTCAAAAAAAGTGTAAAAAGATGCAGAAAACCTAAGTATTCGGACTTAATCATTGAACACAACTATAGTACAGGTAACCAGTATTTCGGGGCAACCAACAAAGCAGCATCTCTTCCTAAATCGGTTGATACTGACGGTTGGAAGGAGGGAAGGAGAATCGTTGAGTTTGGCGTTCTGCTGTCAAATCTTAGATCTTGCAAAAAAGTGTCGACTTGGACCGGTGCCGTTAACATTTGACAACGTGTTAGGTGAACTTAAAAAGGGTGTGTCTGGATATTTGTATGTGAAATGTCAAAACATAGAATGCGGTCATGTGAATTGTGTTCCCTATGGAAAAACACATAGATTGAAGACCTGTACTGGGAAAGTTGGAATGCCATGTTTCGTTGTCAACACAAAATTAGGAACAGGTAAGTGATTTATGTATTGCATCATACTTTAGATGAAGTACTATACTGATTATGAATTCATAGATGTAAGGTCTCGTACCAAAATGAATATACATGTATCTACATGTCTTCCAATAATGTCAACATGTAAAATTATGAGAGAATTTATGCGGACCGAAGCCGGACCGAATGTATGTGTGTAAGATTTATAAATAATTTATTACATAGAATATATGTATATTGTTTGTGTTGAACCATAAAACACTACTCCTTATTGTGAAATTGTTGATAAACATCCCTTGAAACAGTTTTAACTTCCCCAAAGTCATGATAAAACGTTACTAAACAATGCAATTTTTAGTAAGAATCCTACAGGTACATTTATAAAAAAGACACAGTTTACACTTGGCTGCCAATACACACGGTCACATACATGAGGCAGCTAAAAATAGCTCTATATAAATACAATGTGTTTTTTCAGGGTTATGTAAATAATCCATGAAGTGTTTTTGGACAAAATATTTGTATTCTAAAATGAAATATTAAATTTGTTTCTTTTCATTTTCTTACAGCAATGATTGATAGTGTAGGTGGCCGGTGAGGGTCAACAATTTGTTGTCAACACTCAATATACCCACAATTGGAAATAAGAACATGAAAAAAAATGGAGAGACGTGCTGGAAATATTATTGAGACAGTGGCTTCCATGTCGACAGAATCTGCTGCAAAAGAAACATTTATCAAGGAAATGGAGTAAGACACATTTAAAATGATATTTCCTAAATAGTGTAATTGAATTCGAAGAATTTCAAAAATTATTTAAACAATTTTGTTTTTAACCGAGCTGTTTTTACATGTTACTCTATATTCATGTACATATTTTTTTTCTTCAAAATAACATGGATGTGTAATTGTTCTTAAAAAAAGTATTTATTTCTACATGACGAACTTACCTTCATTGGTTTAAGACTAAAATTCTTATTAAATACATGCATTCTTTTTAAGGGATGTGCGTCATGAAGAATCAATGCTATCAGAACACAACATGGAAGGTCTTATTGAAGATCTTGGCGTATGTCCTTTGCCAGATGCCTCGCCAGCACTAAAGTGAGTACTGGTAGTTTTGTTTTTTGTTTATTTACGAACTTAAAGGACTATGCAAAACTAACTGGTGTTGTTGAATTGTTTGTGTTGGGTCAGTTGCTTCCATATATGAATATCTCTCCATATACTGTATGTACATATGTATTTTTTTTATTCAAGGTCTATTCTTCAGTCAGATGCTAAAGTTACAAATGACAGTGAATGGTCAGATGTAGACAATTGTGAAGAACAATCCACAACAATACATGATCATCAAACGAAAATGCCTATGAAACTGTAAGTTGAAATCTATGATGTTTTTCTTTATATATTTATTATATTTATATATATATCATGGTCTAGCAATTCAAAGATAATACTATGATAATTAAGCAATGCTATTTGGGGTCGTCTTCAATAGAAACAATTTGATGTATCTTCTTGTGATCAATAATCGATAAGCAGTCTGAAATATTTCATAGTAGTGATTACCAAAATTGGTCAGAAAAAGTAGTGCAATCAGCATTAATAATTAACAAAACTCATTCTGGTATGAACTTTGTGTTATAATATATTATCTATAAATTACTTATTTTTAATTCATTGGTGTATCTTCAATATTTGAAAATATAACGTTTAAAGATGATTTTTAATATCCAGAAAATATTTTTGAAATATATTTTTACAATTACAGTTCTCACAGACAGTCAAAGGTTAAAAACAAAATCAGAAGTGGTCCACATCTTGAAAAACCCCACAGCAGATTAAGACTTTCCCCGAAATTTCCCTGTAAAACTCGCAGTGGTATGTCCTGTGCAGTAGATACTGCCTGGCATAAAAGAGGATTTGACAGTTTAACATGTAAGTAAAAAAAGATTTTTTTTCTGTGTTATCATGTCAGTTATGATTTATAATTTGTCAGAAAAGTATCTGTGTATGTTTAACCACTGTTATTGATGTATAATTGAAAAAGTGTGTTTTGCATAAAAGTAAGACTGGTTAGTCAACATAGTTCTTTCAAACTGTGGCATTTAGAAGAAAAATCCTAATGGTTATTTGAATTACCATGGTTTTAACTTTGAGCTCTGACCTGGCTGTCATGTTCACATCATGCATTATTTTTTGTTATTTTGGTGTGTTTTTTGAACATAATACATTGATTTTTTAACTAAGTTAGATAAACTCCTAATATATTTGTTGTGTTTTTATCATGCAGCCCACACTTTCTTCATGGGAAAAGCAAAGTATGGAAAGAAAGTTTTAAAGACAATAGTAAGCCACCGTACGTGTGGAACATGTAAATGGTGGAAACGTAATAGACCGGGTCATCAAGTAAGAAAACATAGGTGTGTGCATACACACAGTGGAAGTGCCAAACTCATGGAAAGTGTAAGTGGCGAGCAGGGTGTTAAAGAACTCATAGAACAAGGTACACCTGTAGAATACCTCGAAGGTGATGGGGACAACACACTAATAGCTTGTTTGAAAGGGAACTTAAATTTAACAATGAAGAAACGATTTGATAAAAATCACATTGTGAAAAATGTTGGAAAGCGATTATATCAATTGGCTGCAGAGAAAGAATTAAGTTGAGCAAAAATGTTATTATTCACATTCAGAAATGCCTGAAATATGTATTCTCCAAAAACCAAGGTGATCCAGTTGGAATGGAGGACAATCTAAAGGCAGTTATTCCACATCAGTTTGGGGATCACTCTTTCTGTCAGTCCAGATTTTGTGGATATAAAAGAAAGCCTGGTGAGAAGTACTCCCACAGAAGTCTGCCATATAAGATCCCTCTGAAAGATGAAAACCTTCGATCAAGACTTGAAGTGATTTTTCAACCTCTTTTATTAAATGCTACACAGTATGCTGACCTAGGTTCAAGCCAGCAGTGCGAACATGGTAACAGAGAAGTAACACTCCGTGCACCCAAGTCTTTACATTATGGCAATTCAGAATCCCTTGATCACCGTGTACATGCTACATCTGCTTTCATCAATGAGGGGAGAAAGTATATTGTCCAGGTATGAACAAAGTTTCAGGTTTCATTTGAAGTGACTGTTCATATTCCTCAATTTTTTTTTAATGTTATCTATACAAACAAATAACAACAATATGAACCGTCACTTTAACCATATAATTATGTTTTTTGTTTTTTTTGTTACAATTTATTTTTAAAGAATGTTGTCCTTCCTCCTTTTTTAAAGTTTACAAAA